CTAATTTTAACCAACAGAAATGGACAGATAAATACCCATAATTTATGAACTTTAGAAAACCAGAATTTTAAGTATCAGGTTATTTCTATAATTTTCTATATAAGCAAATAAAATATCACATGTCATAGTCGTTTTAATTTTTAATTGCTTGACTCTCAATTTACTGTGTATTTTCTTTAAGGATTGATATATATATATATGTTTAGTTATATATTTATATATTCATATATATACATATGTAAACTTTTTTTAACCGCTAATGAATGTTCCCTTTGCCCTGGAGTTGCTTAACAAGGTATAAGAAAGCTTGTCTAAACAGAGCATTAGATTAAAGAAAGCTATCAGGGCTTTTATTCATACTGAAAACGAATATTGCAAAGGAAAAAACATGAAGACGATATTCATCCCAAATCCAGATTTGGCCAGATCTGTCTTATGTGGCAGAGAGAGCTTATCTACCTTGTCAATTTAGTCATGCTGGGATGGCCATTTATTTATTCAATTGTCAGCTACCTTCAGTTATTAAGATGCCTCCCCATTCTTAAATTATTGATTGGTTGCTTGCCTGTTTTTTATGTTATTTTCATCAACCTGCGTGCACAGTTTGATTATTAGTATATCTCATGGAAGTTTTATCCTTCCTCTTGAAATGAAATGCTAATAAGTTGAAAACTGCCTGCTGCTAAATCTGAAAGCGTTGTGTTTTGACAGAAGCCCCAGAGCTTTATAATTTATAGATGGTGGCTCCTCTTTATGCACACCACACATATTTGACATCTTCGCCTTGACATTTATGCTTTAACAGATGGGGCCTCTTGTTTAACACTAAAGAAAAAAAAAACCCAAGTCACATTTTGGGCCATTCTGCTTCTCTGGATAAAACACAAAGAGTGCAAAGAATAAGAACATGTTTTAATCATCCAGGAAGCACACCATGGATCTTTTGTGCCGTCAACTGTATTGGTGTCCTTGACACACTGAGAGCACCTCCTCATTACCTTCTATGTGGAATTAAAGAACAGCTTTTCTGTCTAAAGCATAGTACTGGAACTGAAGTAATGTGATTTCATCCTGTCCTAACTTATGGGAAAGGGCTCTCATTTCAATATTAGGTTATTGTTTTCTGTTTTATTTCATTTACTGTCTCCAGAATCGATTCTCCTACCCTGCCAAATCCACATTCCCAGCTTCCTACAAACACCTCTACTGAATGTATAACTGGTATCTCAAGCTCAGTGCATTCAATCTGGATTTAGTCATCCCTATAATCTGCTTGATTTCTGTGTTCCCCATTTCACAATACAGCTCATCACTTATCCAGCTGCCCAAGTAAGAAATTCCTCACTAAGTCCTAACTTTACTGCCTCCTTAATACCCCTCAAACTTGCTCTCAGAGTTCCATTTCTTTTTTTTTTTTTTTTTTTTTTAAGACGGAGTCTCGCTCTGTCGCCCAGGCTAGAGTGCAGTGGCCGGATCTCAGCTCACTGCAAACCCCACCTCCCGGGTTCACGCCATTCTCCTGCCTCAGCCTCCCAAGTAGCTGGGTCTACAGGTGCCCGCCACCTCGCCCGGCTAATTTTTTTTGTATTTTAGTAGAGACGGGGTTTCACTGTGTTAGCCAGGATGGTCTCGATCTCCTGACCTCGTGATCCGCCCGTCTCGGCCTCCCAAAGTGCTGGGATTACAGGCTTGAACCACCGCGCCCGGCCAGAGTTCCATTTCTATTGCCAACGTACCAGTTCAGCTCTTGTCAGCTCTGGACTGAGTTATTACAGTGTCGCTCTTTCCCCTTCACTGATCCTTTACACTTCTGCCAGAGAGATAGCCAAATGCGTAAACTGGATCACACTCTTCAACTGCTTAACATCTTTCATGGCTACCCTTCAACTTCAAGAAATGCAACATCATACAAGATCTTCCAGAAACAGAATCTTATCTTTTTGTGAACTTTACCACTCGACATACCTCCAACGCCGTGCATGTCTCTTTTTCTCATGGCCCTGTGCCTTTGCACATGCTCTTTTCTCTACCCACACTGCCCTTCGTCTGCATTCTTCACCTGGGTGATCTCCATCTCACCTTTCATTCTTCACCTGCATGATCCCCATTTGGCCCATAGTTCAAGTCAATCTGAGCCTTGATGCTTAATAGACATTCATTCTTTGTGTTGCAGTCACAAGTTCAAGTCAGTCTGAGACTTGATGCTGAACAGATACTCATTCTTTGTGTTTGCAATCACACTATACCTGTAATAGAGGAGTCATTGCCTGTTATCATCACTATCTTTCTCTCCTCATAAGCAATTGCTTAAGAGGAAGAAATTTGTTTAATTTCTGGACCCCCACATACCTACCACATAATAAATGCTTGGTAAGTCTTCACTGAATACTTGTCTGTCTGTAATTTTCTGTCAAATTATCAAAATTTAGTTTTTTAATATATTCAGTGCCTACCTTCTATTGGAAAATGTGGCTTCAGAAACCTAGGCTTTTGTTGCCAATTCAAATGGACTCAGAAGTTGAATAATAACAACTCAGGAATAATAAAAATGTCAAAGTGAAAATAAAATAAAGAGAAATATCTGATGATACCATAAACCAAAATCATGAATTTTCTTTGAGAACAATTTTACTTATTCGATTGAAAGGTGCTTTTAAGTATATTTTATTGGACTATTCCTGGAGTTATTATTTGGTTTTATATTTGAATTTAAAATGTTAAGAATATAAGATTCAGTAAACTCAGAGAAAGTACAGGGACAAATGTAACCTATTACATTCAGCAACGATTTTACAGCCTTCTGGATTTGTAAAGATTAACATGAATTTTCAAAGATTTATATGTAACAAAATTTGCCTCCAATAGCTTAATGGTCCAGTCAGACAAAGAAAGAGCAGGAAATACAATGCGTCTGAATTTTAAGAGCATTTGTAATTTACATTTCACCTTCCACAAGCATCAACAAATAGAAGGTCTGAAGCTGTGACTCCCAGCTACCTTCATACATCATTTCAGCTGTACTTAGAGTAACCTCAAGGGATGTTATGAAACTTTAAAAAAAATCTAAAGTAGAAATTCACTCCCAGGTTAAAAATAGAGATCATGTTTTAGGTTCTGTCTTGAAGATTGCAAAATCTAACAGTGATTTGAGAATATGATAGCAAACGTACCTAGAAACTCAAATTGAAAATGCTGTGTGAAGTAAAAAGGCCAATCAGGAAATGGGAAAGATTTCACTGTTTCATTTTCTAATACGTTATATTATGTATTGATTTTAATATTTCAGATGAGATCTGAATAGTCACAACAAGCACAAAATTTGTAATTATGAATATGCTTCTATAATAAGTAATTCTTAATATAAATACTTTGATATACAGAATAGCTCAAAGCTAGTTCAATGCAGAGATAAATGTAGCACAGAAAAATAAATTATGCATGTCTTCCTTATCAAATGTCATAGATAAATAGTAAGAGTCTTAATTATTCCTTGTAGATTAGAAAATAAAAATCAATGTGTTAAACATTTCAGTATATTAAAAGAAATTAAAGATGCACTAAGTAATTATGAGGGAAGCATCATGTACATTAAATATACATAATGGAAAGCTAGAGAAATGGTTGAAGTCTCTTGGAGCAAATTAACATATCCTGAAATTGACATGAAAGACAGAAAATTAGTTCACTATACAAATAGGATGATAAATGGAAAATGAAACTACTTTTAGTCACTATGAAATAACAGAATTTTTTAAAAAGATGTTGTGCATCACAAAAATCTTTCTGAAGAGTAAGTGAAATATATATTGCCTTGAAAGGTACATGACTTTCAACACAGAAATTCACATCTAGGACTTGAATCTAGTTAAATTTTTGGTTAAATATCCAAATGTGTTCAAAGAAGGATTTTTACCATTTATCATGATGAAAACTAAAACCAGCCTAAGTACGAACAATAGATTATGAATACACTGTAGTATATACATACAACAGAATGTTACTCTATCATTAAAAGGTAGGACAAAATGTATATTTGTTTATTCAAAATATACTTCTTGAATGTTTACTGACTGCAAAGTAGTTGGACATAGTTCTTGGGCTAAGGTAAACAAAGCAGACACATTGCCTATTTACAAGAGAAGTAACATTTATTTTTGAGTGAAAAAAGAACCAGTATGTATAGTCTCATCCCTTCACCTCATATTTAGATAGATGATAGATAGATAGATGATAGATAGATAGATAGATAGATAGATGTTAATATACATTACATATGTGCACAATAATAAATCTTGAGAGAAATATAGTAACTTGTTAATGAGAGCTTTCTCTAAGAAGGTTTTCTTTAACATCTGTATAATTTTTAGTTTTCTACAATCAATGTGATTTATTATTTATGAAGAAATAATCAACTTTAAAAAAGTTTTACCGTGCAATATATAGGCCAGGGTTAAACTGGGTTAACTAAATAGGCAGAATCATATGAAATAAAAGTGAATAATATATTTAGAGTTTGATAACATACGTAACTGATGAACATAATCAACATAAGTCCTGCTATAGTAGTAGTAATAATGGCAGCAGTAGCAGTAAATTCAGTATTGGTTCAGTGTCTGCACTATCCTAATTTCTTATAGGTATCAAATCCTTTAATCCTGATAACAAACTTCTTAGTAGGTACTGGTGTTATCCCATTTAACAGATAAATGCACTGTGACAGAGCAAAGTTAAATAATTTTCTCTTGCTTACAAAACTGGCGAGTGATAAAGGCAAGATTTGAATTCAAGCAGCCTGGTTCTGAAGACTGTGCTGAGCTGCTGTTCATCCTGCTTCTCTGTAAACAAATATTCAACCAATTTAACAGAAAATAAAACCATGCACCTAAAAATAATACAACTAATCAAGAAAGGAAAGTTTAAAACTATTGAGATTTAAAATGCTGCTATATGAGTATACAGAAAGTAGTCTTGGAAATTAAAATAATTCTAGACTCACAAAGTTGAAATCAATCTTTAAAATTTATGAAATCATAGAATCTAATGCTAATATAGGTCATGTGGAATCTAACGATAATTTCAAGAAGCAAAACACGTCACATCCAATGCAGGGATCCTTTCCTGAGGAATATTTGCACACAGCCAGCCTGTCCTCTTGTTTGTTTCCAGTAATAGAGTCAGCCTGTTTCACATACTTTTCTAATTCCAGCTGGAGAGTTCTAATCTTCAGAATTTTCTTAAATTGTGCAAAACGTCTTCTTCCATGTAACTTCTTGACATTAAACCCAGGTGTGTCTTAAAAGAAAGAAAATGTACTATTGCTCCAATATAATGGCATAATCTCATAAATACTGAGAATAACTACCTTGGGTATTTCCCTTTGGCTTTTTTCCACACTAAATATCTTTAAAGTTCTTTCATAAATGCAACATCTGCTTAGGGAATATATTCTCTGCACCAAACACTAAAGAAACAAAGACAAATAGGAAAGCTATTCTTCCTCAATAACTTGCATCTGAGAGTGGGAAAACATTCTACCAAAGTGTTTTAGGCCCTATTACAGGACGGGAGTGGTGGCTCACATCTGTAATCCCAGCACTTTAAGAGGCCAAGGCTAGCAGATCGCTTGAACCCAGTAGTTCAAGACCAGCCTCGGCAGCATGGCAAGACCCCATCTCCACTAAAAATACAAAATTTAACAAGGCATAGTGGTGCATGCCTGCAGTGCAGTCCCAGCTACTTGTGAAACTGAGGTGGGAGGATCACCTGAGCCCAGGAAGTCAAGGCTGCAGGGAGCTATGATCGCACCAGTGCACTCCAGCATAGGTGACAGAGTGAGACCCTGTCTCAAACACAGCCCCCAAAACAACAACAACAACAAACCCTATCACAGGAAAATTTGTGAATTTTTTAAAAAATCAGAATTGATTTTTTCTATAACTTCTTCCTAATCTACCACCCTAATTAGTTACACAATCAAGAAAAAAACAATGATGCTAAATTTGTGCTGGATAATCTTTGCCCTTCCAGATCAGGTCTGCAGGCTTCTCTGTCCTGCTTTGTGCCCTGGGAAGTAAACTCTAAAGGTTGCTTCAGCCAAGTTGTATTACATTCCAATTTCTAGTTGAGTTTGGTCAATGGGAGAAGCCAGTAGGACAAAAGAGAATAGAAGGAGACAGAGGGGCTAAGGTATTTATTCTCTGGGTTCTGCTTGCTCGTCCAAGGTTTGGCAGTGGCTTTCCCCCATACCTAAGGCCTCAGCTCCTGCTGGGATTGTTTCTGCATGGTTACAGCTCTCATTGGATTCCAATATGTAATTGTTATCTTCCCTTGTCCTTTCTGGCCTAAGGATGGTAATGGCTTCCCACTATTGTTAGCGAACTCCTGGGTGTTTCACTATTACCTATTGGTTCCCTGAGCCCTGCTCACAATTTGTAAACAGTCTCTCCAGTGAAGTCTTTTCAGTTGCCCTTTGGAGTGTGCTGTCTCTTGCTGAGACTTCAATAGATATAACCCTAAAAAAAAAGTTTGTTGAAAATATTTAGACTGTGTTTTTCCTAGAGATCTCATGCTTTATGATCACTGTCAAACATCTCAATATTTTCTGGAATGAGACAGGGCAATGAGGAATAACAGGAAAATGGATGGGGGGCAGTTTATTTTCCTAACCATTGGAATTATTTTACCCATCTTCAACTGAGTGAGCTGTTTCAATCTTCTCCCGGTCAATTCTCTTTTGACACAAAAGGCAGTCTTCAGGATGCAATCACCAATGTGTTAAATGCATTTTTCTTCTTCTGGGATTCTAGATCTGTTCATTTCAAATAGCTTTAGAAGTATTATAGCATGTTCTATTGAGCAAACACATTAAAGAAAATAAAATTTCCTCAAGCCTCTAGGTGGATAATACAATATCTCAGCTGACTTTGTCAGGCATTTGTTTCCTGACATATAGGTTTTATTTACCTCGAGAACTTCTAAGGAAGTTTTTTGAGCTTATTTAAATTATCTTTCTATAGTCAGTAATCTTAGGCACTAAAACTTTGGAGGAAATAATTTTTTTCTCAAGTTGGTAAATTAATAAAAAGGAAACATGAGCTCTTTTGGGTATTTTCTTTAGGAAATGTGGAGCATGGCAGTTCTTTTGGTGGGAAATCATGCTTTGTGAGTAAAAAATATTTAATTTTTCTTAGGAAAAAAAAAGAGGGGATCTTTTCATTTGCATTTTATCTTGCCCATTGTCCTATAAACTTTAAGTTTCTAGGGAAAAAAATCTATACTGAAAAAGTCTAAAACATAGTAAAGTCCTTTTGCAGTGGACACATCACTTTGCTAGCCACATCTAGTTCCCCCTTTCAGATTAACCTATGCTTCCCTTTTCCAACCTCAACATAAAAGAAATTCAGTTGACTAATACATTTTTTTTTCTTTTTCAAAAATACCCTTACAGGAAGAAATAACCCTTTAAAGTGCTGTTCTGATTATCATGAAACATCACAGAGTTTTCTGTCCATGGCCTAGAAAACTTAATTTTTAAAAGAAACTTTTGTAGAATGGATTGAGGAAATAGTTTTATCTGGTAAAAAGCATTGTTATCTAGCATTCAATATAATATCCCTGTGGAGTAAGGTTTCATCAGAGAGTCTCAGCTAGAATAAAAAATAGAACATTTTCATTTGGAGGCCCCAAAATTGGATTTAGTGCTTTAGAAATAGATATAGACAGATGCATTTTCCAGCACGATCGTTTTCCAGATAATTTCTGAGGAAGCTTTCAGACCTAGGACTCCATTATCTAAGTATTTTTAGACCTTGGAGATATTCGGGAGAGCAGCAGCAACGTAGGGGCTAAAAAGAAGAGACGCATGGAACGTATTCTTTGGTTATGGTTAGACTGCCAGCATTCTGGCTATGGGCTGAATGGTTTACCAAAGAGACTTATCAGTAATACAGCAAAAAGATAGATGGGTTTTACCAATGAGAGTTTTTCTTCTGAAACTTCAGAAGTAAACAACTATACAGACATCTATATCTGTCTATATACATACAGTTTTTCCTAAAAATAGTTTCAGAAATACCTTAAATTTGTGTTTTTAATAAAGATAAAACTACAAAGAAATGGCATTTTTTCATCACCTTCTCCTTAGTTGCTTCCAGAATTAATGATTATAGGTTATTCCATGGCAGGGGATTAAAAATTTATGAGGCATGCAGCAAAAGTAATGGGGGACTAAGAAGAAAAAAAGGTCACAATCAGCTTACAGTTAATAGTATTTAAATTACCACGTGTGTGTGCTTGTGTATGAGTGTGTCTGTGTATTTCCCCCTCTTCTACAGCTTCTCTTTCATATGGTTGCCATATAAACTGTGAGATTTAGAGGACTGAAGCCCTTGAGATTCACAATGCTTACTGGGTTAAGACTGTGCTAAACTTATTCAAACTGCAGCTGGCAACTGTCCTTGGAGTTGCTGTCCTTGAAGTCACTGTTACAGAAGCCTGCAAAGGCAAGCCCTGAAAAATTAATGGAAATAGATATTTCCAAGTGATTTTAGTATAATAGTTTTACTTTTTTCTGTATTTGAAAGAATTACAATATGTCAAGGACAGAATATGAGTTTTGCACAGTTATCAAAATATGTTTTTGTATACATACATATGAAAATAGAAAAAAAATCATTCGTAAGACTTGAAATGAAGAGAAATAGTTACAGTCGGACATCACTAATGCCTGTAATCCCAGCACTTTGGGAGGCTGAGGCGGGCGGATCACGAGGTAGGTGTTCGAGACCAGCCTGACCAACATGGTGAAACCCCTTCTCTACCAAAAATACAAAAATTAGCTGGGTGTGGTGGTGCACACCTGTAATCCCAACTACTCAGGAAGCTGAGGCAGGAGAGCTACTTGAACCCAGGAAGCAAAGGTTGCAGTGAGCCAAGATCGCGCCACTTCACTCCAGCCTAGCAACAGAGCGAGACTCGGTCTCAAAAAATATATATATATTATATTAAAATAATAATAATTTATATTATTTAGTGTCTTGCTAAATGAGATTTTGGGCACCATTTTAATCGTTAGCTGAGTTTTTGAATGTGAATTTTCTTCAATACACTATTAACTTAACTTACCAAAGGATGAATTTCTGAATTATGTTCTACTTTCTTTCCTCTTTTACCTTGTATAGCCAGCATCTGTCCAAGTTCTACTCCTTCTACAATCAGAACATTTTCCAAATCCACCAACATTTTCTGCACAATTCACAGGCTCCTTCCCGAGTTGAAACTTTTGTCACAGAATCAGGGATTCTTAGAATTTCAAGGATGTGAAACAACATCTAAATCAACCTGCAGTTGAAATCCCCTCTAGACTAGAGCATGTCTGACTGACAGCCACTCCGTCTCCGCAGGAACAATTCTAATGAAAGGAGCAAGGAAACAAGATCTAGTTCATGTGAGGCCTCTGTTGCCTACTAACTGGAATGTAATATAATAATCAATTGATTATTATTTGTCAAATGAAAATAAAAACATCCCTCATTTACCTAGACCCTTATGTGAAAACTCTTTATAACATACAAAAAATGCTGTGAAATGTGGTATTATGATTTAGGTCATTATTATTTCACCATCAACCTACTCCACTTCTACTTATCTCTTATTATCAGCCTGTTCCCTAAAGTTTCACCTTGAACAATACAGAACAGTCCAACAGTCCACAAGTATTGTTGCCCCTGAACACCATGAATAGATAGATTGCCACATCAGTAACATTGGGCATAGCTTCAGCATTAGTAAGGAATGATGCTATGAGATAATAATGATCTATTAACTTCACAATCTTAATGGAACATTATAGCTTGTGCCAATAAATAGTAATCTTTTAGTTCCTAATTTCTTCCGTCTAGGTTCTACCCCTTTTATGACCAAATGCATGAATTTGAGATATGGTATGCTAAAACTGCTGCTGTAAAAGGTGTCCAAGCTACCATATCTTTCACTACTCTACCAAGGGCTACTTAAGCTCCACAGTACTCCATTTTCTATAACATTCAAACCACATATAGTAGACATGTTCTTCCTAATCTCATATATTCTTTTTTTGCTGCAACAGACAGTTTGGTAGACCTTTGCTAGAAGATTTGTGGTCATTTTCTCACCCAAACTTCAAATTCTAGCACTCTAATTACCAGCATGTGTATAACCCTTGCTCCATAAAGCCTTCCCCATTGTCCATCACTATGCTCAATTCTCTCTGTGCTCCCACAACATGATTTTCATCCCTTTGTCATAGCACTTACATTCTGTGTTACACTGTAGTGAGCCATTTCTTTGCCTGTCTTTCCTAATGAGTCATATGTTTCTTGGATGCTTGATGATGTGATGAATGAATGAGGTGAAGAACAAATGAATCATTTAATAAATGACAATTGAAAGCATACTTCTGGTTTTTTTTCACTGCTGTTATATTTTAAATATTTTCTATGTCCTCCAAATAGGATAACATTCCTGATCCTGATCAATCAAGAATACTGAATTTATGTATTAATTATCATTTTAATATAATATTTCAGAACAAATTCAATCTCAGATAGAGCCTAAGGTTGTGGACTTTTTTATGTGGGACTATCACTCAAGACACTGTTGAAAAATAACCTTTGTTCTGGAAATAGGCTCTTGTTAAAGAGATATATGTTAATGTCATGTTTATCAGAATTAGAGCATATTAGAGTTCATAGGATAAGCATAATGAATATGCCTGGATTGTCAAACTTCATTGAAGATTTAGAAAAAAACACATTTATAACCAAATAAACCTGGAATAATTGTATTTTTATATATTATGTTTTATATAATATCTATAATAAAATAAACAGAGATAATAGAAGGGAAATTATATGTTATTTTTAAAATACCAAACATAAAAATATTGAAAATATGACAATCCCTTCAGACTAAGCTTCCAGGCCCTGGAAATTGGAATTCTTCATTTGTAGGAGAACTTTGGTAGGAAACCGTATATCCAGAACAAAGACAATCAAGATAGTTCTAAGAGCAAATGGATGACAAATAATTAGCACGTGGAAATAAGTTGATACAATATACATGATTACACAAGAGTATCTTAACCTCTCTGTTATCAATTTGTTGTTCCTCTTGAATTTGAACCTAGGGTTGATTTATTCCATAGATTTATTTACTCTCACTATGATGCAGGCACTCGCCAGGCAATGAAAGTACAGGGATAAATATGACATGGTCTCTTACCTTAAGGAACAAGTCAGTGATGGTGGATATGCATGCAAGTAGCACAGGGGTTATGATACAGTGAGGCCTAAGAAAGAAGGCAGTCAGAATAATCTTCCTGAAACAAATAGATATGCATTGCACTTTAGGATTTTAAAATTGAGCAAATTATTTAAAAAAAACATAAATTCTAAAGTCAGCCTCAGAGATATCTTTTCCAAGTTTCCAACACTATCTGTATATTATAAATATTCCATAGTTGATCTGTTGCAGAAAGATTCTCTAAAGATATTAGGACATGACCTTCATTTATTTTGTGTTCTGGCAGCAGTAGCAAAGCTTCGATAGTCACTAAGAACCCCTGGTTCCACTACAGAAGCAATGCTGGATTCTTAGAAAAGTCATGGACCATTGAGAGAAAGGATTTTTGAATACTTTAATGCTTCTTTTAAAGCCATGGCAACCATGAAACAATTGAAGAAATAGAATGTTTTGAATTCTTGACATCAAAAACAATTTTTAGTGTTATGAATTTGTACTTGAAGAACGTTTATACAATCCATTATATTGAAAGAGAAATACCACATTATATTTAAGATTATACTTAAGATATGATGACTCTAAAGTGGACAAAGCCTCCTTTGTCAGGAACACTGAATAATTTCAGCCTGAATCAGAATTTTTACATGCTTGTAATTTGAAGGTATTTATAATATTCTGAAAAAACCATCAATCACTAACACATCGAGAAATGTCAAGTTTTTCTAGATTTTATTCCATACCTTCATAGGAGCCATGAATGAATAAGACAAATGACTATACTTTTTTACTTTAGTAGAAAAGAAAATCTGAACATTGTAGCCCTTGATTTTTACAGACGACACCCAAAAACCTCAAAAAACTCTCTGAACTGCTAAATACATTTTGGGGGATTCACTATTCTATTTAGAAACATAAGTATTATGCTTTCATAACTGAAACTAAGAATAAATTCTCTTTCTGTACAACTTATCTCTAGGATATAATACCATACTGTTTAGTTCAGTGACCTTTCTTGGCATATTTATCCATGTCTGATAGAGGACCTGAGTGAATTGCTAAGCAGAGCAAAAACAAAGGAAGAATTTGTTGATCTTTAAAAACAGGAAAGAAAAGAAAAACACATATTTGTCTTTATAAGTGTTCTTATTTTCAATAGCTAACATGTGTACATGTCATTTAGCCTCATAATGAAATTATATATTACTCAGAGAACTATGTACAAATATTTTCTTATTAATGATTTTGACATCACAAAGATTACTGTGTTATTACTGGAAAATCAATTGCTTAAAATAAGTTTAGAAAATGATTCAGTCTAAAAATGATGGAGGTTGCATCTAAACAAAATCTCTATGTACCGGTGAATAATGAATCATAACTTCTAAGTCAAAGCTTATTGTTTTCCACTTCCCATATACACTCTGATAACAAGGTCAACTCTAGGAATGGAGTGGAAGTTCTGTCTCTATATTTAGTACTGCCACACATTGGGAAACAGACTTCAACACCATCACATTCATAGCAACTTTCTAAATCCAACTGAAAGAATCACCATCAAATCTGGACTTCTACATTTGCTGATTTCCTTGGTAGCACCAGCCATTATGAACACTGAGATTTTGTTCAATAGAAACCGACACTGGCAATTCAATAATAAGGGCAACGCTGTTAAAACATCAAAACTTTTGCTTTCTTTATCTTTCCTTGTTATGTTTGCTTGCTCTGTTCCCCCATCACAATTCTCATCCTTAAACATGATCAATAATATTCTACTGTTGGTCACAAAGTAAACTATGACAAAGCCTGAAAAAAATTAACTCAAAATGGATACAATCCTGATTGCAGTCTTCTTAATCATGAACTCCTGGCAATAAGGGACAGTGTTACCCTTATTATTGAATTGCGAGAGTCTAGCATGTAGTTTTAATAAATACATGTTTTTAGAATAAAACTTAACTATTGGCTAGTCATATCAATATAAAATATGAAGAATATCTCAAGTAATGAGTTAAGGTTTTAGTACATCCCCATCCTCTCAATTTCTACAGAACTTGTCTAAAAGCGCATATGAAATTTTGTGCTGCCCTGTATAGGAGATTTTTTTTCTTTCTTCTCTTCATTTTCTTTCAAAAATCACATGCATCCTATCCATTTAATGAGGCCATAAACAGCTGGAGACAAATAATCCTGACATGTTTTCTTGTATTTCCAAACAAGTCTTAAATTTCAATAGATAAGTCCAGATTCATACACAATGTTCTACTTTCTACAGTTATTTTTATCGTCATCATACTATTATCAATAATTTGAAAACATACCATAATGGCAATCCACTAACTAAATCTACTGAATCCACATACATGTTAAGACAAGATTAATCAGGTTCTGATGATGTTAAAGATATTCAGGTTAGAAAGAAGATTGTTAAGAGAAAATTATGATAGCATAGTGACCTTTCCCCTTCACTCTCAACTTTAAGCTATTTGATTTTCCTGGCCAAATGCCTCCTGGGATCTACAAGTGAAGTTAGACTTTGGGCTTATCCTGGCATAAAAACTATTATGAAACTTTATCCAAGTGTCAAGCCAAGGTCAGGAATGAAAAGCGACAGGAACTGGGAAGAACTTGCCACTTAAGAGTTCCAAAAGTCAATTTGCCATCAGCTCCTTATGAATATGGCAGGTGTTCCTAGAAAAAGGAAATGGGAGAACTACTATAAATTTTCCTGCACCTGAAGTTTGGAAGGCACAAGAACACAATAACTAGAGGCTTTGCCAGGTACCTCAGCTGACAACAGACAGCCTTCCTGCCTTTGAAACTGAGGGCTACAGGGATAGAAACCTATGTTCCACCACCTCTGGAACTCCCACAGTTTGAAAGACTCCCCACAGCTAGAGCTGAGCTGTAATGAGTTAACAAAGAAAAAGCATAACCCATCTAAGAGAGACCATCAGCCAACAAAAATCATAGAACAAATTCACAGTGAAATAGAATTGCTGGACTGGAGAACAGAACCCTGCATAAGAAAATAAGGAGAGTATCAAAAGAGATTCCAAAATTTGATGACTTCTCACTAATTCTACCACAATTACCATATTCCATGCCACTATTCTCTCCTGTCAGCGTTATTGCACTTGTCTCCTATTGCTCTTCCTATTATCTTTTCTCTACACAGAAGCCAGATTGTTTTATTGGAAAAGCAAATCAGAGAGGAAGTTGTGTGGACTATTTTGACATCCAAGGTTTCATTTATGAATCTCCCAAAAACCTTCATAGAAACAGAGAGAGCAACTAGAAAAGCCAAAACAAAACCCCATGAATAGCATCTGTAACAAAACTAGGTGACAAGATACGCCCACAGATCTCAAAATATAAGGAGGTAGTAAAAACTTTGAAATCTCCGTGCTGCATGGTGTCAGCATTTCTGTAAGAGGAAGTGGAGAGAAGGCATGTGGTCTTTTGTTTGCTCTGAGAAAAGGAGAATTCTAGAATCAGGAAAAAGTATTCTCCAGAAAGTGTAGTGGATAAGTCTATAAACCACAGTGGAAACTTTTTAAATTCATGCTGGGTAAAGGTTATAATGGACTATGCTGTAGTGGTGCTGGAGCAGTCTGGGTCTCATAAACTCTTGACACTAACAAATCTGACTTCAAAACTTTACATTGAAGAAAGATTGCTGGTAGTAGGATATAAATTAAAAAAACACAGTAAACATGGAAAGATAAAGAGGAGATCCATATAACAGTGGAAGAGAAAAACTGAATAATCCAATATCTAAAATTATAAGACCATATTTTAATCACTTGGCAAAATGGTGGAAGGAATGCTCTAACATCCTTGGTGTTATAAATCAATCTGGACTTGCTTATTTAATGTTGTTAGGGGTCAGCAAACTACAGCCTAATGGCCAAATGTGGCCTGTGGCCCATTTTCTGTGGCCCCACAAGATAAGATTGGAAAGAAGAAAAAGAAAAAAAAAAGGAGAAGAAGTTGGGGGGGAAGCAGGAAATGAGAAGGAGTAGGAGGAAGAGGAGGAGAAAAGGGAAAAGGAAAAAAGGGAGAAAGGAGAGGAGGAAAAAAGAAAGATGAAGAAGAAGATGACGAAGATGAAGTGAAGGAGAAGGAGAAAGAAGAGGAAGAGAAAAAGAAAGGAGGAGGGAAAGGAGGGGAGGAGGAAGAAGGTAAAGGAGGAAGAGTGGGAGAAAGGGAAGGTGGAGGAAGAAGAGGAAAGGAAAGATGGGGAGGGGCGGGGGAAAAACAGGGGAAAGGAGAGAAGGAGGCAGAAACCTTACGTAGCCAACAAAACATAAAGTATTTACTATCTGGCCCTTTACACTAAAAGTTTGCCAGCCTCCACTCTAACAAAATTGAGACACAAATGCAATGTTGGCTACCTCTCACTCCTAAAAGTAGGCAAAACTCGTGTCTTTAAAAAAAATGAAAAACTAGTTTTTCATTTTTTCAGAAAAAAATTATATTGCAACAGGTTATTGCTCTGTTGCCCAGGTTCGAGTGCAGTGTCACGGTCATAGCTCACTGCAACCCTGAATTCCTGGGCTCAAGAGATCCTCTTTCCTCGGCCTCCCAAATCACTAGGCCTATAGGTGCGCATCACTGCACCCAGCTAATTTTTAATTTTTTTTTTTTTTTTTTTTTTTTTTTGAGACGGAGTCTCGCTCTGTCGCCCAGGCTGGAGCGCAGTGGCCGGATCTCAGCTCACTGCAAGCTCCGCCTCCCGGGTTCACGCCATTCTCCTGCCTCAGCCTCCCGAGTAGCTGGGACTACAGGCACCGCCACCTCGCCCGGCTAGTTTTTTGTAGTTTTTAGTAGAGACGGGGTTTCACCGTGTTAGCCAGGATGGTCTCGATCTCCTGACCTCGTGATCTGCCCGCCTCGGCCTCCCAAAGTGCTGGGATTACAGGCGTGAGCCACCGCGCCCGGCCAATTTTTAAATTTTTTTAAAGAGACAGAGTCTGGCTATGTTGCCCAGGTTGTATAATTCTTTAATCAAGGTAAAAAGAATTTGTTACAAAACCAGAGAGTAAAAAACAGAATGATGTTCTTACATACACACCCAAAAAACCAGATTAAAAGTATAAGTAAACTATAATCTAATGTTTCCAAATGAGAATTTAAAAATTAAGAGAAGTATCAAAGTTATAAAAGAACAACAAAAGTTAGAATTTAAAAACTGAGAAACAAGACAGTAAGAAAAAGGGAAGATGTAAAAAGAAAGATAAAATAATATGGGAAGAATTATGAGAAAAGCAAAAAGTTATTTCAGAAACAAAGACTAAATTAGAATGAATACAAGAGTGAATAAATACAACAACTAATGACATAAGAGAATTATTTAAGAGCAATAAAAATAGAAAAGAGAAAATTTTAAAAAGAGGGTACAGGACATATGAGCATACAGGACACCGTGAAAATTTTAACATCAATATAACAGGG